CACCCCCTTTCCTTTCCCTCTCACCCTCTTCCCCCTTCATTCTCCCTGCCCCCCCACAACTGCCTGATTGTCCACTGCCCATGCCTAATCTTGTTTTGGCCAGTGGCCGGGGCAGAAGGCAGCACCTCCTTCCAGCTTGGCGATTTCCTGGGCAGTACCAAACAGCTGATGGTTGACCCTGTCGGTGGAAATGCCTACAGGTGGTTTTGAATTGCTCTCATTTGCATTTCCAAAAACAGCAATGTAAATGATCAATGTAGATTCTACTTGAGTTGGTATAGAATGCATTTGTATACTGGGAAAAGTCAATTCCCCTGGATCCGCTCTCTCCAAATTGCATCCCACCCTCCCAGCTTGGGATCAAAAGCAATGCATTCCTTGTTAATTCTAACAAGTAACACATTGATAATGAGCGAGAAACACTGTAATACACAATTTAAACAGTACAAAACACAGTCTCCCAGTACTATGAATACAATATTTTATCATTACTACATCATCAACATACATGACACTTGACAAGTGACATAAGCAGAGAAGGCAGAACTCTGTTCCCCAGAGAGCTTAGAGCATAAAAACCGTAACAGAAAACAGGAAAGCCCAAGGCAATCAAAGGAGCAGATGTAGTGGTATCTTATGCTGAAGCCTCTGTTTAACTAACAGGTTAAAATGAAAACAAAAAAGGGAGTTGAAAATGCAGTGGGTTAAAGTAATAATAATAAGGGAGCGATGACTTAGGGAATACACATAAAAATAGACTATTTTAATAAATAGTCATTTTTTTTAAAAAATTGATGCTAGCATTCCAGCAATTCTGACATCATTTCACATAAAAAAAAGTCTGCTTCCTTAACCATAAAGTACATTTCAACAACAATGCTGAGGGGATAAGATAGGATTTTCTGGATACTGATGACATCCTTCCAGCAGGAAGATAAAAGCTATTTGTGTATTAGGACCGTATTTTACCTCCACCCCTCTCGCTTTCCATGTCATTAATTGACTTTCCTTTTCAAGTACCAGCAGAATTAAATCTAGACATTACATTTTTGAGTTCTTAGGACACCTCACCACTAGAGATGGGCACAAACTGCCAGTTCGGCAGTTCTTGATGGTTTAGATGATGGTGAAACAGGTGTACCACAATTTGGTGCCCTGCCCCCTCCCTTGGGTGCCCACTCAGAGTCAGCACCCAAAGAAGGTGGGGGAGGGAAGCTATGGTGCTGCTTTTGAGTGGGCGCCTGCTTGGGGGGGGGCTGGGTGCTGAACCACAGAACACCTGTCTCACTATCATCCAAATTGGCACAAAGCACCAAACCATCAATGGGTTTGTGCCCATTTCTACTCATCACCCAAAATTTAGTCAACGTCACTCAAGTTGTGAAACTTTAGTCATCAGAAAGGAGTAAAAGTGATCGTTTCGGATGGGATGGGATCTTTGGGTTTTTTCAACTAAAAGTCCCATAAATCTCCATTCTGCAAGTTCCACCTGACAGACCCATGCCTAAATGTGATTTGCCTAGAAAAGGGGCCTAGCTGGGAAGGCTTTGGGGCCTAGGATAGGCCTGACTCTGCCCTGGCTTCCAGAGCAGAAAGGAAACTGCCCCACTGCCAGCTGGGAGCTTCGTATCTGCACAGGAAGCTAGGGTAGAGTTAGGTCTTTGCAAAGCCTTAGTCTTCACGGTCCATCCTGGATTGAATAGTTTGCCTTCACTGGACAGAGAGATACAAATATCCAGTCCTCCTTCACGTCATTGAAAATCTGAAACACAGAAAGCATCTCAGTAGCTGTTGTTCACATATCTGTGACTTGGGGCAAGCCAGTGGACCTAAATCTAACCTAGTTTAAATGGGAAACACCAACAAGTAGAAATTAACGTGGACCATTATTTATGAAGAGGAGATACGTATAGAATAGAGATGAGCATAAGTCAGTTCAGCAGTTTGTGTCAGTTCGTCCTTTGGGGAAAGAGGTGTTCAGCACTTCACAGCCCTACCTCCTCTGGTGGGCACCCACTCAGAGGCGGTGCCTGGAGGAGCTGGGGTGGGGAAGCCAGGGCGCTGCCCCTTTGGGCTGGGAAGCACCCAATACCTATTCATTTGAAGGATGAACTGCTGAACCGGCGGCTTGTGCCCATCTCCAATCGAGAACTTTTCATCCCATCACAACTTCATAGGAATCCAACAAACAATCATGTTTTGGGTTGAGTGCCACCAGTGTGGCATCTGGAGGCACAGACAATAACAGGCAAGAGTTACATGACATTGACAAGGAATGATGAATCAGTGACAATATTCAGAGTCTATATGTAAAGCTACCCCCAAAACATTCAAAATAGATTGATAGGCGGTGCAGATTCCTAAGCTACTAATGAGAAAGTAATAAAAATTGCTATGGTTATTACTTGGGTTTTCTACAAAAAAAGGACATGGAAGTCGAATGGCAGTAATGCTGTGCAAATGTCATTTCATGATGTTCATGGTTGCCATTTGTTGAGGCTGCCATACGGACAGTCTTTTGCTGGCAGTACCAACAAGTCAAATTCTACAAAACAGGGACCCAGCTATTGTGTCCATACATATGTACCAATTATTGCACACTATCAAGCTCTATTCAAATAAGAAAGGCAAAACAATACTAGGCAGTTCTGCAGGTATTATTTAGGAACTAGACCTTATTTCTGCACACTGTGTACACACATGCATTCAGTACAGAAATGTATCCTTTACTTTTTCCCTGATCCTCACAAGGAAATCCATGATCAGTGGATCCATGTAAAATGCTTTTTTTCAGTTGTGCTTTCTAGAGAGAAAAAAATATTTCTTTCATTTGTTGATGGGCAGACAAAGGCACTCCGAGAAAGGGCAAAGCAGACTGGATATTACCTTGGGAATAGTCCCATGACCAAATGTTGTGGGAGAAGACACAAAGGCTACATGAAGAAGTCTTCTTACAAATATGTAGTTGCCTCTCTGCTTTCTCTTTCTTTAGCTTGTGCGACAGCTACATTAATGTACTGAAGCCATTCTTCAGCGTTCTTTTCATCTTTGGCTTTGAGAACATATGTCTTGTTATCTGTGAAGATTTCAAAGGCCCGAGGAAGGCTGCGATCCCGGCGCTTTTTGGCCACCACTTTTACACTTTGAACCTTACTGAGCTCAATGGGGCAGTCATCTGGATCATCTTTCTGAAACAGAGAAATGTGGCTCAAGAGTTATTCAGAAAATACCCAGTGGGTTATTCAATGATGAAGAGCTCTGAGGAAATATATTTTATAGCTTATGTAATTACTCCTTACCAAGTTTTCTCAGGGTTAACCTATGCTATACTCTTAAACTGAAGCAGCCCTTCTTCCTTACCAGTAAACCTAGGGAGTTACAATTATGTGAGAAGATTTAGGAGAAAATCTCAGCTCTTTTTTCAAATGAAAATTCCCAGGATTATCTGGGGTAGGGTGAGGAGAGCCATGACATTTACACTGGTATAAAACCAGTATACGTTTTTAGTGAAGATATGCATTCAGTGTGCTCTAGGGAAAAAAATTCTCTATTAAACACATAATTTGTTCCATAGGAGCCAATATTTTGGACTTGGTGCTTGCCAACACATCAATAAATATTGCATAGTTTAATGTCAGACATCTTCCTCTTTCACCATTAGTGCATATGTTACAACAGTCCTTTAACTAACTCCAGAGAAGTAGGATTTGGGCAATTTTCCTACTAGGTTTTTAAGCAGCCTTAATGCATGGGAGAGATGCCCGAGTGATAACCCTGGGCTATGATGTGCTCTGTTTATTGTCTCAGCAACCTGGCTTGCAGATTTGTTCAGCACACTCCCACTCCAAGCTACCTATAAGGGCTCCTTTGCCATTTAACTCTGTTAAAACAAATTGTGGTAGAGAGGTGGCACCGGAAAAACTGAGCGGAGACCTATGGAACTTATTAGTAGCTTAATTAGAGCTTACAGAAAGAACCAACAGAGAGAAAGACAGAAAGATTATTTATTGTTCTCTTTTGTGGACCCGGATTTTAGTTCCATTCAGATTAGTCCCATGGGGTCCGTAGGACCAACTGAGAAGAAATGGGGACAGCCATTATTGAGAAGTGGTTACTACCCTTGGGTAACACAAGTGTTATTTGACTGCAACTCTCAGAAACCTGGCCAGCACAGCTAGTGGTGAAGGCTTCTCCCCTTAAGAATCACAGGCTGCACCAACAAGCCGAATCAAAGCTATTTGGCTTTGCTGTGGTTTGATTCACAGTTATCTTATGGTTCAGTTTGCCTTCACTGATCGCACCCGGGCCATGGATTGATTTTGAGCCAATCTCCATACTGCCTCCTCAATGCAATTTGCATTTCAACCTACAGGTTCCTCTTCCCTTCCTTCCTTTCTTCCTTCCTCCCTTCCTGTTTCCACCTTTGCCAGTTCTTTTATAGTTCACTGTCAAGCTGCCTAGTTTTTAAAACGTTAGGGGAAATGCAGCAGCTTTCCAAAGTACTTATTTATTTATTTAAATCTACCCCCTCATCCCAAAAAATAGGGAAAGTTTGTTTGTTTGTTTGTTTGTTTGTTTATTTGTTTGTTTGTTTAATTAATTAATTAATTAATATGCCGCCCACTCTACCCAGAGGTCTCTGGGCGGCTTACAATAATTAAAAACTTCAAAACATACACAGAAATACACACCCACACATATATGGAAATCTGTATAGTCTTTCACATTTCATTGGGATTTTTCTATTTTGTAGTGATTCGTTTTTTTTCCTCTGCAGAGGTGATCCAGCACTAAACAAATCTATCAGTACAATGACTCAGTGCTACATTTGTTTATTCATTTTTTAAAAAAAACTGGGGACACTTAAATGCCAGTTTATGGAGTATGTTCCCTAAAAATCACACAACTGCCTACATCACCAAAACACTGCCCCCTCAGACACACACCTCACATTCTTTGGCAGAAGGAAACAACTGATCACATGGGGAAAAGTCAGTTCAAAATCATTCTGGCTTGAAACAAGTCAAAGTACCCTCAAACTGTGCATTGACAGCAAACAGGGCTGGATTGATTTGAATTGGCCTTTGGTTAATGTGATCAGTAAAATAGACAAACAAAAAATTAATCTTTTCTGCAGCTCCTGTGGTATTTGGTGATGTATACACAGCCAAAATGTGTAATAAGGAACCGGTTCTCAGAGGTTTTCAAAGCCTGATCTGGCAGAAGGACTTTGAAATTAAATGGATTTTCAAAACTTACAGATTTTCCCTTGCGAAAGAGAAGTTGATTGCCAGCGAGTGTAAAATACCGGGTCTTCCACCTTTTTATGAACTTCCATCGGACTTGCTTTTCCTTCAGCTTGCCTTCAATCAAGGGTTGGCCATCTTGATTCACAACTAAGGAGATACATTTTTTAAAAAAGTTTTATTGTTGAATACTTTGCTTCTGCTTTGGTGGTTTAGACTTTACAGTAACTTCGGGAGATGGGTGCCCAGAAGGTGTGATTTTTATAAGTTGCATGATTACATTTCAGCAAAGCAACAAATAAAGTATCCATGCTCCCAGAACAAACTTTTCAGAGGAGAAGTTAGATTATCTCTGAAAAGGCCCATCAAACTCATTTGTTACCCATTTAAATTTGTCACAATTTCCCCTTGTTTATTGGAAGTGGGTAAGAGTGCAACCATGCTTAGGTAAGTAATAATGTGGCTACATGGGCAGGAGAGATAAGAAACTGCTGGAATGTTCCTTCTTTGTACCGCCTACTTCCTGGTTTCCACCAAATGATCGAACTCTTAGATTTGCCTTCAGTTCCACCAACCCCCCTTAACAATTTTTCTCTATTGCTCAGAACTGTAACTCCCTGACAAATGCTTCTCTCTTCATTTAAGATAGTATTTGTTAAATGCAATCTCGAAGGCTTTCACGGCCGGGATCTGATGGTTGTTGTGGGTTTTTCAGGCTCTTTGGCCGTGTTCTGAAGGTTGTCCTTCCTAACGTTTTGCCAGTCTCTGTGGCCGGCATCTTCAGAGGACAGGAGTCAGAACTCTGACCAGAGCACAGACAGAGCTGTCCTCTGAAGATGCTGGCCAGAGAGACTGGCGAAATGTTAGGAAGAACAACCTTCAGAACACGGCCAAAGAGCCCGAAAAACCCACAACAACCACCAGTATTTGCTAACTTGCTTCTAAACACCAGGTTCCACACAAGGAATAGTGTTTGACTAAGTGACTGTGCAGATCTCAAATTTCCCTTGATTCACCCACACAGCACATCCCTGAACTGCCCTTTTCATCTCTCTGCAGGAACTTCGTCAAAGTTTTGGGGAAGTGGTAGAATGATCTGAGCATAGATTTGCCCTTGATGGGAACTTCTGATCTGTTCCTTTTGGGTCTATACTACCTTCATGTTAAGCCCCCTAGAATGGTCGAAATGACTAGATAGGCGGGACATAAATAAATAAATAAATAAATAAATAAATAAATAAATAAATACTTTGTTCAGCTTAGTTTGTTTACATTTGGCCCTTTCTAGCAGACACATCTTCAGTTTGTGAGTTGTCCGTTGTTCAGTTTGTGGGGTAAGGGGTAGGGGTGGTGTCACTGTTCATCCTTTTGTCTGTCTTGATTAGCCCACTGAATTATCCATTTATTAAAAAATGTCATCTGATTAAAGGATCTCCACTCAGTTTTATAAATTTTATTAAAGAGTTATCCAGTTCTTAAAAAAATAATGCCAGATGATTAAAGGATTTCCACATAGTTTTATAAAATGATATTACAGTATGGAAATGCATTTCAGTAGACTGATTTATTTTTTTAAAGCTGGACATGAAATACTTATCGCCCCTTATGTTAGCATATGAAGACAGAATGAGGGAAAAAGAAGAGCTGATTCATGCACATGCGGTAAGTTGGTAAATATATTCTTTAATGAAGGTGCAGGTACAATGTACAGTGGTGCCTCGCTTAACGAGCGCACCGTATAACGAAGAATCCGTATAGTGATCCCTTTTTGGGGATCGCTATACGGAACTGCCCCAATCGCCGCACTCGCTTTGCGACGATTGGGGCGTCCGGCGGCCATTTTGGCTGCGGACGACCCGAAATGCCCCCCCGCAGCGTTTTCGCGACCTCGGTAAGCAAGGGGAGGGCGCGAAAACACTGACGGGACCATTTCGGGTCATCCGGCGGCCATTTTGGAGCCGCCGAACAGCTGATCGGCGGCTCCAAAATGGCCACCGGACCAGCGAAAACATCGCTGGAGGGGTAAGTTTTGGCGCCTATTGGAACGCATTAAACTAAGTTTAATGCGTCCCAATAGGCTTTTCCTGCCCTGTACAGCGATGTTTTCGCATAGCGAAGGTTAATCCGGAACAGATTAACCTCGCTATGCGGGGCACCACTGTAATTGAAGATTACAAGTTCAATATGAGCCAACAGTGTGATATGGCTACAAAAAGGCAAATGCTATTTTAGGCTGCATTAACAGAAGTATATGTTCCAAATCCCGCAAAGTGCTAGTTCCCCTCTATTCAGCACTAGTTATGCCTCATCTTGAGTACTGTGTCCAGTTCCGGACACTGCACCAAGAAGGATGCTGACAAATAAGAAAGTTCAGAGGATGGCAACAAGATGATCGGGGGGGGGGTCAAAATGAAGCTCTATGAGGAAAGTCTGAAAGAACTGGGCATGTTTAGCCTTGAGAAAAGACTTAGGGAAGATACGACAACACTTTTCAAATTCTTCAAAGACTGGAGGGGCATGATCTGTTCTTGATCATCCCCAAGGACAGGACATGCAACAATAGGCTCAAGTTGCACGAAACTAGATTTCAGCTCAATATCAGGAAAAACTTCCTAATTGTTATAGCAGTATGGCAATGGAACCAATTACCTCTAGAGGCGGTGAGTGCTTCAACACTGTAGACATTCAAGATAAATTTAGACAACCACCAGAGATATATCCTTTGATTTGTATTCCTGCATTGAGCAGGGGGTTGGAATCAATGGCCTTATAGGCCCTTCCAAGTTCATTTTTCTACAGTTCTATAATAAACGTCTCACTTATCTTGAAAGCCTTATTAGAGCTGCTATAGGTTGGCTCTGACTTGATGGCACATAAGAACAACAATAATAGGCCATGGTGCTAAACATTGAGCTTGGTAAAGTATATGGAAACAGTTCATTACAATGAAGCTGGCACTCCAGTTGAATTTTTGTGGCCCAGTGATGATGAGTCTCAGTAGCATTAGAGAATCTAATACATCAGTAAGTGCTAAGGTGGCCGTAGACAACTTTCTGTTTTTAACCTTTATCAAAATGTGGGGGATAAATCCATGAATATTGAGTACTTTCAACTTTAAAGGGCACCCTAACTGATGCCTAAATATCTGAGGGACTAGTTAAAAAAGTAAATTTCAGAGGGGTAGAATGATTAATATTTTATTTTTTTAAAACTTCTTTATTTTCTTTGAAATTAAGCTGCAGGGAAAGCACCCCAGAGGGAGACCACAGCTGTGATACAAGGATATCTGCAAGCAGTATCTGAAGGCCTTAGGCATGGACCTCAACAGATGGGAAATGCTGACATCTGAGCGTTCAGCCTGGAGGCAGGTGGTGCATCACGGCCTCTTCCAATTTGAAGAGACCCTTGTCCAGCAGGCTGATGCAAAGAGGCAGTCCTGAAAGCAGCAAAATCAGGGAGCTGGACAGAGGACAGATTGTATTTGTCTTCAGTGTGGAAGGGATTGTCACTCTCGAATTAGCTTCTCATCCACACTAGATGCTCTTCCAAGACCTCTATTCAGAGCACGTTACCATAGTCTCTCGAGACTGAAGGATGCCTAATCTAAAAAAGCTGTCTAAACATGGACAATGGTATATAGTAACCTTATAACTTCTCTGTTGTAGACTTTTTATTACTTTAATAGCAATAATCTCATTCTATGGGATCTAATTCACTGTGTAAAGTACTTTAGGTAAAGGTAAAGGTAAAGGTTCCCCTTGACACTTTTTGTCCAGTCGTGTTCGACTCTAGGGGGCGGTGCTCATCCCCGTTTCCAAGCCATAGAGCCAGCGTTTGTCTGAAGACAATCTTCCATGGTCACATGGCCAGTGCGACTTAGACACGGAACGCTGTTACCTTCCCACCGAGGTTGTCCCTTTTTATCTATTTGCATTTGCATGCTTTCGAACTGCTAGGTTGGCGGGAGCTGGGACAAGCGACAGGCGCTCACTCCGTCGCGTGGATTCGATCTTACGACTGCAGGTCTTCTGGCCTTGCAGCACAGGCTTCTGCGGTTTAGCCCGCAGCGCGACCACGTCCCTTTCAAAGTACTTTAGACTGAGTTGCAACTGTTCTTTACTATAATGTGTAAGATAAAAAAATGAATGTCATTACTTTATAGATTAAAGCAAACTTGGATGATGACAGCATGTATCTCTGAGTAAAGACAACTGGGTATGTACATATTCAAATCTTCCAAAAAACACACAACCCTACAACATTGGCTTATGACTGTGGAATATTCTGCTTCTGTACCCACAATTCAAAAGCCCAAGGAATGGCCTCACACTGCTGCACAACATTGTGCCTTCATTGCCAGCAGAAAAAAGGATGCCAAGCTTTGCATAGCAAAGTGTAGACTGAATGTTGATGACACCAATGGCAGCAGTCAGGATGGTCTATAGTAGAGGTCCTCAACCTTTTCCAAATCATGGACTGGTTGGGTGGACAGGGTCCGTGCGCAGGGGGGCACCCCTCACACTTGTGGGTGGGCAGGGTGCACTTGTGGGTTGGTGGGGCACATGCTTGTGCATGCATGGGTGTGCAGGGTGTGCTCGCGACTGGGTGGGGTGCACTCGTGGGTGGGCAGGGCTCACACTTGTATATGCACCCATGGGCAAGGAACCCCATGTATGCATGCGCAGGTGGGCAGGCACCCATGTGTGCAAGTCAGCATGCGGGGGGAGTGTGTGCGGGGGGTGGGATATCTGTCTCCATGGCCTCGTCCTGCCAAGGCCACAGACCAGGGGTTGGGGACCCCTAGTCTATATAGGATACCCTCTTCTGTTTATTACTGTTCACAAAGGGACAACAAGCAGGGGGAAAATCCCAGAACCTGACTTTTTTTTTAAATCACCTCATCACTTCTCACTCAAACACAATGCAATTGTCATGGTTGTTTTTCAACAAGTTTTCTATGTATCTATTGCTTGGAAAATATGGATAATCACCAACAGTTATGATGAAACCTCTGCTTGTAGGGTGCTAATTTAATTTTCCAGCTTTTAAAAATGGAAGCTGAAGTACAAGCACACTACACACTAATTCCAGCAAAATCTCTCATGTAGAATTTCCCAGTGCTAGAGGATCTCAGAAGATGAATTCATCTC